GTCAAGGGACCCCTTTAGCGGTCTTCAGGGATCTCCCCCGCTGGGAGACCCCCACAAAAGAGCTCGATATCAGTATAATAAATATGTGAGAGGAAGCCACAGGGAGGAGGAGGAGGGAGCAAGCTTCCTTTCTGCTTCCCTGAGACTAGGACGCAAGGGAGCCATGGCTTCAGACTACAAGAGAGGAGATTCCACCTGAACATGAGGAAGAACTTCCTGACTGTGAGAGCCGTTCAGCAGTGGAACTCTCTGCCCCAGGGGGAGTGTGGTGGAGGCTCCTTCTTTGGAGGCTTTTAAACAGAGGCTGGATGGCCATCTGTCAGGGGTGATTTGAATGCAATATTCCTGCTTCTTAGCAGAATGGGGTTGGACTGGATGATGGCCCAGGAGGTCTCTTCCAACTCTGTGATTCTATGAGGCTGGATGGCCATCTGTCAGGGGTGCTTTGAATGCAATATTCCTGTTTCTTGGCAGAATGGGGTCGGACTGGATGATGGCCCAGGAGGTCTCTTCCAACTCTAGGATTCTATGATATATATAACTTGGGAACAAAGCAACATAAATAATCCCATACATTTGGGATGTAGGGACATACAGAGATCCAAAGATCCGAATCATCTGGCCTGAACTGGGATATTCCTACATTTCCTTAATCCCGCAGTTTTCAGGCTTTGTAGTGGTTCCTCCCGCATTTTCGGCTAATGTTGTCCGTCCACCCTCCATTTTGAACCAGGAGCTCCTGGGATGGACAGCAGACATAAATAGCACTTTGGATATGGAATTCGACTGGAATAATGAGATTGTTTTTAATGAATGTTCTATTTACTGTTTTAATTGTTATTATACTGCTTTGTTATTATGTATTGGTATAGAATTGCTGCCAAATGCTGCCTGAGTCCCCCTTTGGGGGTTGAGAAAGAATGGGGTAGAAATACTGGAAATAAATTAATTAAAGGTACTGTGTGGATGGGCCCTTGGCCTTCCAAGCCATGCACACAAGTCAGGCATGCCACGATGCAAACAAATCTTGTGTCTCCCAAAGCGAGCCTGGGAAGGAAGGCCTCGTCTCCTCATTTCCATTGAAAGGGGGCCTGGCTTCCACAATTAAAGCCGTGACTGAGAAGCCCTTTTGGCCCCGCACTGGATCCAGGCAAGCTCCTTTTCTCATTGCAGACCCTTCAAAATCCAAAGGCAGAGCATGCCCAGGCCAGCCCTCTCCAGGCACCAGGGCTGCAACTCCCATGGATGCCCATGGAAGGGGCTGCCATTCACACTGACTGCAAAGCAACTTCCCATTTTGGTGCCTCCCCCCCCCCCATCTCTATCCTCCTCCTCCGCTTCCTTCCTTCCATCAGACCCCCCCCCCCCAATTGAGAGATGGAGCTGCCACTTGAGGGAGGGATGGGTGAACTTCTGGTTAATGCACTATAATTCCTTTGTTCCAACCAATCATCCGATCATTAGGGTAATTTTGTTTTAATACAACAGTTTCAAGCAAAGTGCCACCTCTGGTTTCAGGTAATTGAAAAGGGAAGCCCCCTCCTCGGCACTTAGCAAAGAACACCCTAAAACACCCTTTCCCCAAAGGGACCCCTCCTCCTTAATGGAGCAGGAGAAGGATCCGCATCTGCAGAAAGGAAGGAATGCAGAAAGCAAAAGCGTCTAAGGTCTGGAAGCCCTCTGAGGAGACGTTTTGGGAGCTGGGTCTGTCCCGCCTGGAGAAAAGGAGGCCCGGTTTCAATGTGGGAAAGGAGGTCCCATTGGGGAGAATGGGGGAGAAAGCCGTCTGCTCTGGGGAGGGGGACACCAGGGAGCAATGGGTGCAGTCTGCAAGAAATGAGGAAGGACTTCCTCAGAATTGGAGCCCTTTACCTGTGGAACCTGGGGGCCTTTTAGCAGAGGCTGGACAGGCGGGCTTCAATTGTGCTTCTTTTGCCTGGCCAAAGGGGCTGGACTGGAGGGCCTTTGGGGTCCCAATTCTGAGATTCTATTATTCTACAGCCTTAGTGTCTATGAGGCTCGATGGCCATCTGCTGGGAGTGCTTAGATGGTGTCTTCCTGCCTGGGCAAAGGGGGCTGGGCTGGATAAGAATAATAAAATAATAATAATAATAAACCTTTATTTATACCCCGCCACCACCTCCCCAAGGGATTCGGAGCGGCTTACACGAGGCCAAGCCCAACAGCACACCAAAAACAACAAGCAATAATAAAATAAGCAATAAACAAAATAAACAACACAATTAATATAACTCATAAATAGACAATAACACACAAGAGTTTAAAAACCTATGGCTGGGCCAAATGTAATAGCCCTTGGGGGTCTCTTCCAGGACTCTGGCTCTATGCCCCCCCCCCACCTCAGCGTACACGCGAGGGCACACTCACACACACTCACACACACACACCCAGCCTGAGCCAGCAAGTGTTCCAATCCTACATTTATTGAGCTGCTTCTCCTCCTCCTCCCCGGACACCTGCATTCAATAAATAACAAACTCCCACCGGATACATCATGCGGATTCTCCGGTCAGCGGCCGAGGCCGAGGGCCCCAAAGTGCTCCAGGTGCCAGGTGCGTGTTCCGTGTGGTGTGTGCCAGTCGCAGAGGGCCTCTCGGGGCAAGGAGGGCGTGGGCTGAGCGGCCACACCAGCCTGGGCGGCCTGGCAAGACCGGCAGCTTCAGCAAGGACTCCTTCCACCACGTTGTCGCTCATTCCAGTCCAGGAGGAGATGCCAAGGAGGTCGGAGCTCTTCCGTTTCCTTCTTGCAAAGAGACCTTGAAGGTGCCACTTGCATGGTGTTCCCCATCCTGCCAGCCAAGGGTGGAGGGCCAGTGGGTCAGCCTGCTTCTCTGGACCAGAAACGAAAGCAGAAGTGGACTCGCCCTCCTCCTCCTCCTCCTCCTCCTCCTCCTCTTCTTCCTCCAGCAAGAGCCAAGGCATCACCACCTTGTCCCACCCAAACAAGGGCCACCAGAGGCCCAGAAACTCAAGCCTTCTGCAGGCCATTTGGGAGCCAACGCAAGGAGAAGGGAAGCATCTTAATCCAGGAAATAGGGAAGGAGGGGGTGGGCAGAGGCGGCGGGGGGGGAGAGTGGGGGTCTCAGGGCGGGGGGGAGGAAGGGAGAGTTAGGTCAACTTGGGAAGGGAGAGGATTCACTCTCCCCATGACATGCATCAAGGGAGGAACTGGCAGTGGAGAGGAAGAGGCCATCAGCACAGGACTAGTGTTTTTTTTTGGGGGGGGGGGGGGCTGAAGTGGGGGTCTCCCACACTGGCACTCCCTCCATTGCACCCAAAGGGGCGAAGGTGTGGCTGGTTGGAAGGAGGAACGTGGGAGCAAGCCATCCTCTCTTGCAGGCACTGCACCAAGAGGACAGAGTTTGACCAAGGGAAGGCTTTTGGGGGGTCGCCCCCTTCTCCCTCTGAAGTTGGGGGCCCCACATGGATTCCTATCACTCAGGCCAGACGCTTCTCCAGGCATCGTGCTCACAATGAGTGGCAAGCACAAGGAAGGGAACTTGAAATGTGTTTGACAGAAGACAAGAACTGCAGGCAAACGGAGAGCGGGAGGCACGGCGTTCACTGCACGAGAGCCACAAACCCGGAAACAGGCTGGAAACACTCTCCAACCTTCCCAGCTAGACTTCTCTGAAATGCCTCAACCGGGTCCATCCATTCTTCTCCAAGACGTTGTTTCTCAACCAATACTTAAAGCACTTTGTTTTGCCACTTGGGAGCACACGAGCACACTGCTTTGCACACTCAAACAAGGATGCTTTGGTGGCGTCACCAATATATATATATCTCTGTACAAAGATTCATTTTTTTATTTGATGCTCCCCGGGTCTTTTTCCTTTGGACACAACGGAGCCCAGCCAAGTTTGGCCAAAACCGCTTGAGGAGGAGCCTCAAAAGCAGAGTTGCAGGCCGAAAGCGCCCTTCCTCTCGAGGAAAGAGACAAAAAGCTGCAATGAGCAGCCAGCCAAGGCCAACGTGGAGGGCTCCGCAGCTCCTCCCTCCCAGGCGAAGGGACTGGGCTTGGGCGCCAGGGAGGGCCGTTCTCATCACTCAACCAACAGCGAGGCATCTTGCAGGTGGGACACGGCGTTTGAGACAGTCGTGGGAGACAGAAATTGGGGGGGGGGGGGGGGGGAAGAGAAGGAGGGCTCCGCTTGCTCAGGTGGGGGCCGCGCGTGATCTGGAGGGGGCTTTGTCCTGGCTGAAGAGGCCCAACTGGAAGATAGAAGACAAAAACAGGTGTGGATTGGCAGTCAGGGAACGCAGTCAGAGTGGGAAGCGAGGAAGCAACAGCACTTGGATGCACAGCAAGGAGGGGCAGGCAGAATAATCAGAATAATAATTATTATTATTATTATTATTATTATTATTTATTATTATTATTAATTTATTATTATTATTATTATTATTATTATTATTATTATTATTATTATTATTATGAGGATTTAAAGATCGAACTGCAGAGACTCTGGCACAAGCCAGTCAAGGTGGTCCCAATGGTGATGGGCACACTGGGTGCAGTGCCTCAAGACCTTGGCCTGCATTTATTATTTATTTATTTATTTATTTATTTATTTATTATTTATTTATTTATTTATTACTGCACTTGTATACCGCCGTTTCTCAGCCAAAATTGGCGACTCAACGCGGTTTACAACTCTACAAACAATCAACAATATTCAGTTTAAAAAGCATAAAAACAACATACAATACATAGTATTGGGCCACCAATACAATCCAATGCATCTCTTAACTAGAATCGTAGTCCAATTTCATCGTCCATGATTACCAGTCCTTAATCATCAATTTCTTTGCACCGGATTAACCGAATGCTTGTTTGAACATCCATGTCTTCAATCTTTTCCGAAACACCATCAGCGAGGGGGCTGATCTTACCTCTATGGGGAGGGCGTTCCAAAGCCGAGGGGCCACCACAGAAAAGGCCCTGTCTCTCGTTCCCACAAGCCGCACCTGTGAAGCAGGCGGGATGGAGAGCAGAGCCTCCCCAGAAGATCTTAGGGTCCTGGTGACCTTGGCCTGCACTTAAACACAATCAGCGCTGACAAAATTACCATCTGCCAGCTGCAGAAAGCCACCTTACTGGGATCTGCACGCATTATTCGCCAATACATCACACAGTCCTAGACACTTGGGAAGTGTCCGACGTGTGATCCAATACAACAGCCAGCAGAGTGTCGGCTGTGGACTCATCTTGTTGTGTTTATAATAATAATAATAATAATAATAATAATAATATAGATATTATTATTATTATTATTATTTGTGCATTTATTAACCGCCATTCTCAGCCCTCTAGGGCGACTATTATTATTATGGTTTCATTCCTGGACTGCACAAGTCTCTTCTGTCATCAAGTCTCCAGACGGCTGAGGGATCCCCCCCCCCCCATTCCTATTCATGCCTTCCCAAAAGCGCTCTGCCTTTCCTCTTCCTCCTTGCCACGGTCTCCTCCCCTTTGATGATGTAGCAATGGCATTCCGTGAGGGAACTTCCTTTTAAAAGGTATTTTTATTCCCCTGGGGTTGACCATGCGGTCTCCACCATTTCCCAGCCTCTTCTGCTTTTCTTCTTCCCAGTGAGGATGCACTTTTTACCTCTCTTTTTAGGCAAAATGTAGCTGCATGGATTTTTTTTTACTTTTTGTCCTTTTTCCTTTTTTAGAAGGTGAGACTTAGTAAGCTAGTCATCTCCAAGACCTTTTCCATCTAGAACGTATTCCTTTTACCTCAATAAATATTTTTGAGCCTAAAGTTCGGACTCTGCCATCCTGGGCCATCCCAAGATATCGAAGCTTATCCCAGCTCATCACATGTGAGTTTCTGCTGGTTATGAAGTGTGCTTCTGGGACTCTGCTATATTTATGGTGGAATCACCCCAGGGTTATTTTTGAGCCTAGCAGCTCAGATTCCCCAACATTATTATTATTTGAAACACAACAAGATGAGTCCACAGTAAACAAGGTCACTCTGCTGGCTGTTGTATTGGATCACACATCAGACCTTCCCAAGTGTGATCTGTGTGATGTATCGGCGAATAATGCGTGCAGATCCAAGCAGGGTGGCCTTTTGCAGCTGGCAGATGGTAATTTTGTCAGCACCGATTGTGTTTAAGTGCAGGCCAAGGTCTTGAGGCACTGCACCCAGTGTGCCAATCACCACTGGGACCACCTTGACTATATTATTATTATTATTATTATTATTATTATTATTATTATTATTACTTCGCTTTTTCTCTCCACAAAGGGGAGTCAAAGTGGCTTGTGTTAGAACCCTGTGGGGAAATTCTGCATTTTCTTAGGTTGACATAGCTCAAGGTGTTTCCCTTCATTATTGCACCTTCCCCTCCTCTCCAAATGAACGCCTTTACTGAAAGGCTTCTTGAACTTTTTCTGCTTGTGCCCCCCTCCCTCCCCATCTAAGAAATGTTTAAGTGACCCCAGGGGTAGAAGCTGAGAGAATAAGTGCACAAACCAAACGTTTGGATGGTTACATCTGTGTTTGTGGTGGGCCAATGGCACAAGAGCAATGCAAATTTGTGCATGTCGCAGTGGGTTAAACCCCTGTGCCGGCAGGACTGAAGACTGACAGGTTGCAGGTTCGAATCTGGGGAGAGGCGGATGAGCTCCCTCTATCAGCTCCAGCTCCTCATGGGGGACATGAGAGAAGCCTCCCACAAGGATGATAAAACATCAAAACATCTCGTCCCCTAGGCAACGTCCTTGCAGATGGCCAATTCTCTCACACCAGAAGCTACTTGCAGTTTCTCAAGTAGCCCCCGACACAACAACAACAACAACAAAAAAGCCCCAAGGATATGAAAACCAAACCCCTTCAGCGGCCCCTCAGTCTCCCCTGGGGGTTGGGACTAGGATCCTATGTAGAGACTAAAACTCCTGGATGCCAAGTCCCATGGCATGCAAGGCTGCAGTAAAATGGTTTGCTTTTTGGAAACACACGCATCTTTGCAGGCTCTGAAGCAGAGACTGGATGGCCATCTCTTGGGAGTGCTTTGACTGTGATGTCCCTGCTTCTTGGCAGAATGGGGTTGGAGTGGGTGGCCCACCAGGTCTCTTCCAACCCTAGGATTCTATAGTACATCCAAAAAGCAAACCATTTCAGGTAAGGTTTCCCTACGCCCTGGCCTGCCCTGGGACTTGGCTGGTGAGTAGAGATGACTCAAGAGGGCCAGAGGCCTGTGGCCAAGGGGGTTGCCCTCTTCTCCAAGGCAAGGCTCCCCAGGCCTGGGAAGGGGGGGTGGGGGTGGCCCTGGCCCCCCAAGAAAGGCTCCCTACCTGCGCCCGCCGCCTACTTCTCCTCTTGATGGAGGGCCTCAATGAAGGCTTCAAGTTTCTCCTGGATCTCCCGGACTTTTTCTGGAAAGAGAAGGACACGGCCGTCAGAAGAGCTGAGCTCCAGGAGAAGGAAGGCAGGGGCCCTCAGGGCGGGAAGGGAGGGAGAAGGGGCCCCCAAAGAGGCCCCCAAAGAGGCCCCCAAAGAGGCCCCTTGCAGCACACAAAGGGGAAGGAAAAAGAAAGAGGGGACGGGCGGCAGAACCCCTGGCTGGAAGGGAAGGGCTTTCCTCTGGCCCAAGGCTCAACACAACGGGAATGCCTCGTCCCTGCCCACCTGGCACTCACAACCTGCAGGTAATGGCATAATATAATAATAATAATAATAAAACTTTATTTGTACCCCGCTACCGTCTCCCCAAGGAATGATGTGTCGCAGCTATGGTGTTGCTGCTTTATAGTTGGGGTTGTTTTCAAGCATTCAAACCCCCTTCTCGGAAGCTGCGCCCCGTTGAGAAAAATAATACAATCCACAGAAGACAAACTTTCTTCCAATAAAGTAAATGTTTATGCAATAGTCACAAATAACAGATTCAATCCATCAATTCCAATATTCCAGCAAACCCATTGTCCTAGTTCCAACAGACCTCACTACCTCTGAGGATGCTTGCTATAGATGCAGGCGAAACGTCAGGAGAGAATGCCTCTAGAACATGGCCCTATAGCCCGGAAAAACCCACAAGAACCTAGTGATTCCAGCCATGAAAGCCTTCGACAATACAAACCTTCCTTAAGCTTTTACAGGAGTCTATTCCTCTTCCTCTAGCTCTTTACAGTCTCACCAACAGCATTCTCTGCTCATGCTCTTCTCTACTCTTCTCTACTCTCTACATTCTCAGTCTCTCAATTTGTAATAGCTAAGCTTTCACAGGTGGCTTGACTGTTGCTGGCCACACAATGACTGGACATGATTCCTGCAACCACTTATCCATTTTTCACTTAAGAAATGATCTAAATATAAAACTCTGACACTCGGTGTGGCTTACGTGAGGCCGAGCCCACAGCACATCAATAAACAAAGGCAATAACCAATAATCAATACAACAATTCAAATAAAATAAAACTCAAAAACAAAAAATACACAATAAGCAAAACATACAGCATTTAAAACCCATGGCCGGGTCAAATGTAATAATTAAAATTTAAAAATGCTGGACATGAGCAAGGAGGTGAACTAGGATAGGGTTTTCAGAGAAAGATGAGGGCGCGCAGACAATCCTAAATCAATATTAAAGTGCATTTGAGGACATATTGCTAAGAGTTTTCCTTAGTCTGGGAAGGCACACTGGAACAACCACGTTTTCAGGCTCCTCCTAAAGACTGCCAGCATTGGGGCGTGTCTGATGTCCTTAGGGAGTGAATTCCAGAGTTGAGGGGCCACCACCGAGAAGGCCCTCTCCCTCGTCCCCACCAATCACACCTGCGGAGCGTGAGCAGGGCCTCTCCAGATGATCGAAGAGATCGTGTGGGTTCATACACAGAAATGCAGTCACGCAGGTAGGCAGATCCCAAACCGTTCAGGGCTTTGTAGGTAAGAACCTGCACCCAGTATTTTCCATACTTGTGTGCATGAAACACACAGTGTGTGCCTTCCCCATACTCTGGGGTCAGGGACACCGGATCCACCCTCTGGAATTGGGAAACTGGGAATGACAGAGCTGCATGGTTTCCAAACCTGGAATTTCTCGATCTCCCAGCGCAACACCAGAAACCCACCCGAGGGTCCCACGGGAGGACCAGGGGAGTCCGAGAGAGAAAGGAGATTTAGGATTAAGCCATGATTATAGAATACTGTGTAGAGCAGGGGTTCTCAAACTAAGGCCCCGGGCCGGATGTGGCCCTCCAAGGTCATTTATCCACCCTGGCCTAAACTTTAGACCAGGGGTCCTCAAACCAAGGCCCCGGGCCGGATGTGGCCCTCCAAGGTCATTTATCCACCCTGGCCTAAACTTTAGACCAGGGGTCCTCAAACCAAGGCCCCGGGCCGGATGTGGCCCTCCAAGGTCATTTATCCACCCTGGCCTAAACTTTAGACCAGGGGTCCTCAAACCAAGGCCCCGGGCCGGATGTGGCCCTCCAAGGTCATTTATCCACCCTGGCCTAAACTTTAGACCAGGGGTCCTCAAACCAAGGCCCCGGGCCGGATGTGGCCCTCCAAGGTCATTTATCCACCCCTGGCCTAAACTTTAGACCAGGGGTCCTCAAACCAAGGCCCCGGGCCGGATGTGGCCCTCCAAGGTCATTTATCCACCCCTGGCCTAAACTTTAGACCAGGGGTCCTCAAACCAAGGCCCCGGGCCGGATGTGGCCCTCCAAGGTCATTTATCCACCCCTGGCCTAAACTTTAGACCAGGGGTCCTCAAACCAAGGCCCCGGGCCGGATGTGGCCCTCCAAGGTCATTTATCCACCCCTGGCCTAAACTTTAGACCAGGGGTCCTCAAACCAAGGCCCCGGGCCGGATGTGGCCCTCCAAGGTCATTTATCCACCCTGGCCTAAACTTTAGACCAGGGGTCCTCAAACCAAGGCCCCGGGCCGGATGTGGCCCTCCAAGGTCATTTATCCACCCCTGGCCTAAACTTTAGACCAGGGGTCCTCAAACCAAGGCCCCGGGCCGGATGTGGCCCTCCAAGGTCATTTATCCACCCTGGCCTAAACTTTAGACCAGGGGTCCTCAAACCAAGGCCCCGGGCCGGATGTGGCCCTCCAAGGTCATTTATCCACCCTGGCCTAAACTTTAGACCAGGGGTCCTCAAACCAAGGCCCCGGGCCGGATGTGGCCCTCCAAGGTCATTTATCCACCCCTGGCCTAAACTTTAGACCAGGGGTCCTCAAACCAAGGCCCCGGGCCGGATGTGGCCCTCCAAGGTCATTTATCCACCCCTGGCCTAAACTTTAGACCAGGGGTCCTCAAACCAAGGCCCCGGGCCGGATGTGGCCCTCCAAGGTCATTTATCCACCCCTGGCCTAAACTTTAGACCAGGGGTCCTCAAACCAAGGCCCCGGGCCGGATGTGGCCCTCCAAGGTCATTTATCCACCCCTGGCCTAAACTTTAGACCAGGGGTCCTCAAACCAAGGCCCCGGGCCGGATGTGGCCCTCCAAGGTCATTTATCCACCCCTGGCCTAAACTTTAGACCAGGGGTCCTCAAACCAAGGCCCCGGGCCGGATGTGGCCCTCCAAGGTCATTTATCCACCCTGGCCTAAACTTTAGACCAGGGGTCCTCAAACCAAGGCCCCGGGCCGGATGTGGCCCTCCAAGGTCATTTATCCACCCTGGCCTAAACTTTAGACCAGGGGTCCTCAAACCAAGGCCCCGGGCCGGATGTGGCCCTCCAAGGTCATTTATCCACCCCTGGCCTAAACTTTAGAGCAGGGGTCCTCAAACCAAGGCCCCGGGCCGGATGTGGCCCTCCAAGGTCATTTATCCACCCCTGGCCTAAACTTTAGACCAGGGGTCCTCAAACCAAGGCCCCGGGCCGGATGTGGCCCTCCAAGGTCATTTATCCACCCCTGGCCTAAACTTTAGACCAGGGGTCCTCAAACCAAGGCCCCGGGCCGGATGTGGCCCTCCAAGGTCATTTATCCACCCCTGGCCTAAACTTTAGACCAGGGGTCCTCAAACCAAGGCCCCGGGCCGGATGTGGCCCTCCAAGGTCATTTATCCACCCCTGGCCTAAACTTTAGACCAGGGGTCCTCAAACCAAGGCCCCGGGCCGGATGTGGCCCTCCAAGGTCATTTATCCACCCCTGGCCTAAACTTTAGACCAGGGGTCCTCAAACCAAGGCCCCGGGCCGGATGTGGCCCTCCAAGGTCATTTATCCCCCTGGCCTAAACTTTAGACCAGGGGTCCTCAAACCAAGGCCCCGGGCCGGATGTGGCCCTCCAAGGTCATTTATCCACCCCTGGCCTAAACTTTAGACCAGGGGTCCTCAAACCAAGGCCCCGGGCCGGATGTGGCCCTCCAAGGTCATTTATCCACCCCTGGCCTAAACTTTAGACCAGGGGTCCTCAAACCAAGGCCCCGGGCCGGATGTGGCCCTCCAAGGTCATTTATCCACCCTGGCCTAAACTTTAGACCAGGGGTCCTCAAACCAAGGCCCCGGGCCGGATGTGGCCCTCCAAGGTCATTTATCCACCCCTGGCCTAAACTTTAGACCAGGGGTCCTCAAACCAAGGCCCCGGGCCGGATGTGGCCCTCCAAGGTCATTTACCCGGACCTCGCTCTGGGTCAACCTAAGTATGAAACTACTTGAAAGCACACTATAACAACAACAATCCTCTCTCATCAGCCAAAAGCAGGGCCACACTTTCCATTGAAATACTAATAAGTTTATATTTGTTAAAATTGTATTGTTTTAAAATGTTTTTTGCACTACAAATAAGATATTTGAAGTGTGCATGATTTTTTTTGAATTATAATCCGGCCTGCCAACAGTCTGAGGGATTGTGACCTGGCCCTCTGTTTAAAAAGTTTGTGGACCCCTGATTTAGACCCTAAGTCTGTAGCAACTTCAAGTCACACAACAACAACAGTCTGAATTAACTTGACTATCTGATCAACCAAAAGCAGGCCAACCATTCCCATTGAAATACTGGTAAGCTGGAAAGGGTCCTTCAGAGGAGGGTGACTCAAAGCATCAAGTGTCTGGAGAACAAGCCCTATGAGGAGCGGCTTAAGGAGCTGGGCATGTTTAGCCTGAAGAAGAGAAGGCTGAGAGGAGATATGATAGCCATGTATAAATATGTGAGAGGAAGCCACAGGGAGGAGGGAGCAAGCTTGTTTTCTGCTTCCTTGGAGACTAGGACGCGGAACAATGGCTTCAAACTACAAGAGAGGAGATTCCATCTGAACATGAGGAAGAACTTCCTGACTGTGAGAGCCGTTCAGCAGTGGAACTCTCTGCCCCGGAGTGTGGTGGAGGCTCCTTCTTTGGAAGCTTTGAAACAGAGGCTGGATGGCCATCTGTCAGGGGTATTTGAATGCAATATTCCTGCTTCTTGGCAGAATGGGGTTGGACTGG